CACCAGTTTGTGGGGTGAGTGGGAGGAAGAGAAACTTCTCTCTCACTCCTGCTACTTCATCAATCCTCATCTCACTGCTGGCCTCCTTCGACCCCTTTCCTCAGCCATCCCAGGAGAGGGGCTGGACTTTGGGGAAGATTGTTTCAAAAGTGCTCTCAATATTTCCTCTCTCCCCAGATGCTTTACAATGTGACAGCCACTTGTCCCACCCAGTGGTGGAACTAATTCCTCCACCCCTTCAATCTTAGCTGCTCTTAGGATTTGCTTTCACCAGTAGAGCGCAGTGCAAGGGTTGGGTTGCAGTTTCTGAACCTCTTGAGTGGCCTTGCACCTTCTGCTCTGCCCCTTGTATGCTGCCAGTGCATAAAGAAGCCCATTAACAAAGAGAGAACACCTGAGAGAGAGGCCCACCCGACAACCAAAGCCAACCATCAGCTGTGCAAGAGCTCACCTTAGACGGTCCAGCCCCAGTCGAGCTGCCGATGACTGCAGCTACATGTGTGACCCAGACAAGACCAGCAGAAAGACCTTCCAATGGGTCTGGCACAAAGTGATGTCCCACGGTAGTTTTTTATTGAGATGTAATTTACAGATGGCATTGTGTAAATTTAAGGTATATACTGTGATGATTTGATACATTCATATATTGCAATATGAGTACCACCACAGCTTAAGTTAATATGTCTATAATGTCACAAAATTATCACTTCTTTTTTGTGGTGGGAAATTTTAAGAGTCATTAGCAATTTTGAAGCATATGACATGGGATTGTTGACTCTAGTCATTATGCTGTGCCTTAGATCTCCAGAACTTACTCATTTTCTAACTGCAAGTTATGTCCTTTAATGACATCTCTCCAGTTTCCCTACCCAGCAGCCCCTGGTAACCACCATTCTACTCTGTTTCTATGAGTTTGGCTTTTTTAGAGTCCACATATAGGTGGTATCATACAATATTTTTCTTTCTCTGTCTGGCTTATTTCACTAAGCTCAAAGCCCATCCATGTTGTTGCAAATGGCAGGATTTCCTTCTTTCCCATGGCTGAATAATATTCCATTGTGAATATATACCACAACTTTTCTATCCATTCATCTATTGACAGACACTTAGATTGCTTCCATATTTTGTCTATTGTGAATAAATGCTGCATTGAACATGGGAGTACAGATATCTTTTCAATATGCTGTTTTCATTTCTCTTGGGTATATATCCAGAAGTGGGATTGATGGATTTTTTTTTTAAGATTTTATTTATTTATTTGATAGAGAGAGACACAGCGAGAGAGGGAACACAAGCAGGGGGAATGGGAGAGGGAGAAGCAGGCTTCCCGCCGAGCAGGGAGCCCAATGCAGGGCTCGATCCCAGGACCCTGGGATCATGACCTGAGCCGAAGGCAGACGCTTAACGACTGAGTCACCCAGGTGCCTGGGATTGATGGATTATAGGATAGTTGTATTTTCAATTTTTTAGGAAACTCCACACTGTTTTAGATAGTGGCTACACCAATTTATGTTCCCATAAATGGTACATAGGGCTTCCTTTTCTCCATCCTCATCAACACTTGTTTTCTCTTGCCTCCTAGATGATAGCCATTCTCACAGATGTGATGTGACACCTTATTGTGGTTTGTATTTGCATTTCCCTGATGACTAGTAATGTTGAGCATCTTTTCATGTATGTGTTGGCCATTTGGATATCTTTTTTGGAAAAATGTCTATTCATTTCTCTGCCCATTTTTAATTGGTTTGTTTGGTTTTGTTATTGTTAAGTTGTATGAGTTCTTTATATATTTTGGATATTAATCCCTTATCTCTGTATCATTTGCAAATATTTTCTCCTATTCCAAAGGTTAGCTTTTCTCTTGTTGATTGTTTTGTTTGTTTGTTTGTTTGTTTGTTTGCTGTGCAGAAGATTTTTAGTTTGATGCAGTCCTACTTTTCGATTTTTGCTTTTGTTGCTTGAGCTTTTGGTGTCATATCCAAAAAATTGTTGTCAAGACCAATGTCAAGGAGCTTCTTCCCAATGTTTTCTTCTAGGAGTTTTAAAGCATAAGGTCTTATGTTTAAGTCTTTAATCCCTTTCAAGTTAATTGTTGTGAGTGGTGGATAGTAGGGATCTAATTTTATTTTTCTGCATGTTATTATCCAATTTTTCTTAGCACCATTTGTTGAGGGGAATATCCTTCCCCCATGGAGTGTTCCTGGCTTCCAAGTCAACTATTAGTTGACAGTAGATGTGGGAGTTTATTTCTGGGCTCTCTGTTTTGTTCCATTGGTCTATGTTTCTATATTTATGCCAATATCATGCTGTTTTAATTACTACAGCTTTGTAGTATAGTTTGAATTCAGGAAGTGCGATGACTCCAGCTTCATTCTTCTTTCTCAAGATTCTTTGGCTTTTTGGGTCTATTCTGGTTTCATACAAATTTTAGGATTGTTTTTCCTATTTCTGTGAAAAAAGCCATTGGAATTTTGATAGGGATTGCATTGAATCTATAGATGGCTTTGGGTAGTGTAGACATTTTAACAATATTAATTCTACTTATCCACAAACACAAGATCTTTCCATGTGTGTCATCTTCAATTTCTTTCATCAAAGTTTTATAGTTTTCATTGTACAAATCTTTCACTTCCTTGGTTAAATTTATTCCTAAGTATTTTATTATTTTTGATGCTATTGTGAATAGGATAGTTTTCTTTATTTCTTTTTCAGACATTTTGTTATTAGCATATAAAATCACAATTGATTTCTTTTTTTGTCATTTTTTTAAATTTTATTTTATTATGTTATGTTAATCACCATACATTACATCATTAGTTTTTGATGTAGTGTTCCATGATTCATTGTTTGCGTATGCGTATAACACTCAGTGCTCCATTCAATACGTGCCCTCTTTAAGACCCATCACCAGGCTAACCCATGCCCCCACTGCACTCCCCTCTAGAACCCTCAGTTTGTTTCTCAGAGTCCATCGTCTCTCATGGTTCATCTCCCCCTCCGATTTCCCCCTCTTCATTTTTCCCTTCCTACCATCTTCTTCTTTTTTTTTTTAACATATAATGTATTATTTGTTTCAGAGGTACAGGTCTGTGATGCAACAGTCCTACACAATTCACAATTGATTTCTGTATGTTGATTTTATATCCTGAAACTTGATTGAATTCATTGATTAGTTCTGGTAGTTTTTGGTTGAGTTTTTAGGATTCCCTACACATAAGGTTATATCATCTGCAAATAATAAAAATGTTACTTCTTCCTTTCCTATTTGCATGCCTTTTATTTCTATATCTTGCCTGATTACTTGAGGGAGGACTTACAGTACTATTTTTAAATGGGAGTGGTGAGAGTGGGAACTCTGGTCTTGTTCCTGATCTTAGAGAAAAAGCTTTCAATCTTCCACCATTGAGTATAATGTTAGCTGTGGGTTTGTCACATATGGCTTTTATGATGTTAAGATATGTTTCATCTATATCCAATTTGTTGAAGGTTTTTATCATGAAAAGATATTGTATGTTGTCAAATGCTTTTTTTGCATCTATCGAAATGATCACATGGCTTTTATCTTTTATCCTATTAATGCACTGTGTCACATTTATTGATTTGTGTATTTTGAAACATTCTTGCATCCCAGGAATAAAACACTTAATGTGTTGTTGAATTCAGTTCACTGATATTTTTTGAGAGTTTTTGCATTTATATTCATTAGGAATATTGTTCTATAGGGTTTTGTTGTTGCTGTTGTTGTTGTTGTTGTTGTTTGTAATATACTTATCTGGATTTTGGTATTAGGGTAATGCTGGCCTCATAAAATGAAGATGAATGAAAGTGTTCCTTCCTGTTCAGTTTTTTTGGAAGAGTTTGAAAAGGATTGTTGTTAATTATTCTTTTAATATTTGGTAGAACTTATCAGTGAAGCTATCTGCTCCTGGGCTTTTCTGTGTTGGGAGGTTTTTGATTACCAGTGCAATCTCCTTACTTATTACTGGTCTATTAAGATTTTCTATTTCTTCCTGATTCAGTCTTGGTAGGTTGTATGTTTCTAGGAATTTATCCATTTCTTCTGGTTTATCTAATTTTTCGTCTATAATTGCTCATAGTAGTCACTTATGATACTATTTATTTCTGTAATACCAGTTGTAATGTCTCCTGTTTCATTTCTGATTTTATTTGAGTTTCTCTTTTTTATTCTTAGTTGGTCTAGCTAAAGGTTTCCTAATTTTGTGTTTATCTTTTTAAAAAACCAGCTTAGTTTCATTGGTCTTTTCTAGTGTTTTTCTGGTCTATATTTTATTTGTTTCTGCTCTAATCTTTGTTATTACCTTCCTTCTCTAACTTGGGCTTAGTTTGTTCTTCTTTTTCTAGTTCCTGGAGGCATAAAGTTAGGTTGTTTGAGATCTTTCTATTTTCTTAGCATAGGCATTTATTGCTATAAACTTTCCTCACAGAACTGTTTGTGCAGTATCCCATGTGTTTCCATTTTCATTTGTTTTGACATTTTTTAAATTTACTTTTTATTTCTTCTTTGACCCATGGATGTTCAGGAGTGTGTTCTTTAGTTTCCACATGCTTGGTAAATTTCCAACTTTCCTCTTGTTGTTGATTTCTAGTTATACTCTTGTGGTTGGAAAAGATACTTTCTATGATTTCAATCTTCTTCATTTACTAAGATGTGCTTTGTGGCCTACCATATGATCTGTCCTAGATAATGTTCTGTGTGCACTTGAGAAGAATGTGTATTCTGCTGCTGATGGACAGAATGTTCTGTATATGTCTCTTAGGTCCATTTGGTCCAATGTATGTTTCAAGTTCAACATTTTCTTTTTTATATTCTCTCTGGATGATCTATCCATTGCTGAAAGTAGGGTATTGAAGTCCCCTACTATTATTGTATTGTCAACTTCTCTCTTCAGAATTGTTACTATTTGCTTAATATATTTAGGTGCTCTGACATTGAGTGCATATATTTACAATATTATATCTTCTTGATGAATTGACCGCTTAACAATATAGACTGTTTCAGGAATTTGTATATCGTCCTTGTGCAGCGGCCCTGCTAATCTTCTCTATATTGTTCCGATTTTAGTTATGTGTTGCTGAAGCAGGCACAGCCCATGGTATTGTGAACATATAAAATTGTTGTTGTTTTAAAACTGCTAAGTTTTCAGGTGGATTTTAAACAGCAATAAATAATTGATAAAGACTTAATCTGATGAGTCTAGAAAGAGAGGTTGAGGATGCACAGACCAACTCTTTCTCTCACTCATCTTTTGGGAGTAAGCAACCCACTGAGAATCTATGTTCTCTTTTTGTCATCCAGGCCAAAAACCTTACAGGATTGAGATGCACTGATACATATTTTTTCCAAATGCTAATAAGCCAGGAGTTAAAATCAGTATTTGGCTGACATCAAGGCCAAACCCAAATACTGCCGTAAGAGAAAAAAGTAGGCATCAAGAATATATCTGAAAATAATTTTAAAAATTAATATAATTTTAGCAGTCACAAATTGAAAGATGATTAGTGAAATGAAAATGTTTTAAATATTTTTTACAGTATATCCCATTTTCCTTTCTCTTTACATTCTTTGTTAGGTCAAAATTAAAAGTAATTTGTCAAGATTTTGCACTTTTTCCTTCTCATGAAATTTTAAGGCGGCAAAAACTAATTCAATTCATCCTCACAAGATGTGAAAAATTCTCAAATAGGACTTTTTATTGAAAACACATAATATCTTTGTATGGGTTTTGGCCTTGACACATTTTTGTTACTTATTTTTATGTGAATTTCATTTTTCTGATTATCAGAAGGCTATTTAACAACTCCTGTGTTCCCGTGCAGTGTTAAATTTTCTTTTTAATTTTTTAAGGTGATTTTTCTGAGTTGTTTCTGGTTTTGTTTTTTTGCTCTCTTTGTCAACCCCACTTTCCTTCATCTATGTTGTTCCTTCCCAATCAATTTTGATTTAGCCCCTCCTATTTTACCTGAGTATGAGCCCCTTGGAAGGTGGGAAGGTGATGCTGCTAAGCCGTCAGCTGGCTTACTGCAGGGTCCCTTGCCTCACCTGCTAATCTAGGGACAGAGCCCTCTCATTTCTGCTATTGCTCTCACTGGCCACTGGGCCTCCCCAAGAGGGGCCATTTTGGGTCTCCCACTGTCAGGTTGTCAGTCATCCCATGGCTTCTCTATGCTTTCTCCTCAACAGATGCTGATAATGCGTTGGTCTTTTGGCTCTTGCTGTTTTGCATTTTGGGGTTCCTGGAGTACCTTGTCACCTAGTTTTCTTGTAAATGCTGTCCATTATTTTTTTTTTTCATTTCACTGTCTTTTTTATGTTGGAATTTGGGAAGATCTAAAAGCTACACCTCTTCCACCACTGCCATCTTTGCAGAATTTGCTAAGAAGAGTTTTATCACAAGTTCAATCTTGACTGCCCATAATTTGAAAGTAGGTATCTGTCATTTGTACCTTCTGGCAAAATAACCAGGGTTAAGCTCAAACTTAGATGCATCCCTATATATCAGTGATGTCTCTGTGATCTGGCTGCCCTGGGCCCAGATGGGTACATTGAATCCTGGGCTCCAGTATTAGGAAGCCCCCACGTGTACATAGGTAGAAGCCATGTTCTCTAGCCCAGCACTTACCAGGTAAAAAAATTTTAAGGTTTACCTCCAAATGCTAACCAACGCCTTTATATCCCTTTTTGATTACTTCAGAACTTGGACAGGAAGAGTTTTTGCCTTTATTATATGAAACATAAACTAGAAGTAAAATATCAGAGAGCACTTTATCACATGCATCCTTAACACATGGAGATTGAGATATTCGGCAGAGTTGGGGAAGGTAACTTTAAGTTTTGGTGGCTCTTACTAAGTGTTGCAGGGTGCATTATGCCCCCCCTCAAAAAAGATATGTTAAAGTTCTGACCCTCAGTACCTCAGAATGTGACCTTATTTGGAAATAGGATAGTTGTAGATGTAATTATTAACTAATTACATGAGATCATACTTGAATTGCGTGGAACCCTACTCCAATAGGGGCTAATGTCCTTATGAGAACATGGCCATGAAGACTGAGAGAGAATGCCATGTGACAACAAAGGCAGAGATTGGAATTATGTAGCTGCAACACAGAAGATCGCCTACAAACCACCAGAAGCTAGGAAGAGGCAAAGGAGGATTCCCTTACAGGTTTCAAAGGCAATGCAGGCCTGTTGACACTGATTTCAGACTTCTAGACTCCACAACTGTGAGGCAATAACTTTTGTTGTTTTAAGCCACCCAGTTTATTGTGTTATGGCCCCCAAGGCAACAAATACTCTAAAGGCTAATGGGGGCTTCTTATCTTTGTGGTCTGCAGCCTGAATCCAGCAATCAGCTGGTTTTGTAGTCACAAAAAGACATAATAAGAATTTCACTGAGTCTGTGGTGAACACAGAGCTCAACCCTCAAGAATCTGGAAGCGTGGAATGTCGACTAAATCTCTTGCAGAAAATCTTTTTCCTTTAAGTGAATGTTCTCCTTAGCCACACCAACTAAGAAAGGGCTTGTTAGGCTCTAGTTCAATGTCAAATTACAGCAGTCTGTTACTTGCAATAGAGGATATGCTCAGTAATATGGTGTAAATGAGCTTGAGGACAATGTTGGGGAACTATAAATTTAAAAAATCTCCTGCCAACCAAGAGAAATTCTCCACAAAAATAGAAGAGGGAAAAAAGCTCTATACTGAATGAGCATTAAAGCAGAATGTGATGCGCATCTCAAGCAATCCACTAAAAGATTGCAAAAACAGAAAAAAATCACATCTTTTTATATAGCCAGGCAGATACAATTTATTCCATAAAAGTTGTCAGGATAAACACTAATCATTTCTTTTTTTTTTTAATATTTTATTTTTATTTTTATTTATTTGAGAGAGAGAGAGAATGAGAGATAGAGAGCACGAGAGGGAAGAGGGTCAGAGGGAGAAGCAGACTCCCCGCCGAGCAGGGAGCCCGATGCAGGACTCCATCCCGGGACTCCAGGATCATGACCTGAGCCGAAGGCAGTCGTTTAACCAACTGAGCCACCCAGGCACCCAACACTAATCATTTCTTAAATAAGAAGACTTGACGGTACTATTTGTCACACAGAATTCACCCTAAATTTAAATCTGGTAATTGGGGTGACCATCTATGTTAGTTAATTGGCTCTATCCAAAGGAAAACAGACTTGTCATGTCTTTATGACAAGAGGTCATTTTGTAATTTGGAGCAAGGTTCCCACTCAAGTTAAGCTCCTACTTTCCCACAGAAACTGGGAAATAAGGTTTCTGTCTTTTTTGATAATTACGTCTCAAAGAGATGACTTCTTGGTAGTTAAGAAACATTAAATTTTCAAATAATTTATTGCAGTGGCTAGATTCAAATGAAATAGCATTAATTCTTCCTTTTATGCTTCTGGTTCCTGTAAAAATTGAATGACTTAGTAAATCAGTTTGCCATTCATTGCTAGTTCTCAGACTCTTCTAATGAATTCCCTTGGACACTGATCCTTAGCAGTTGAGAAAATACTGTCAAAAGCAAGAGGGGCGCCTGGGTCACTCAGTCGATTAAGTGTCTGCCTTCAGCTCATGATCCCAAGATCCTGGGATGGAGCTCCACGTCCAGTCTCAGGCTCCCTGCTCAAGAGGGAATCTGTTTCTCCCTCTCCCCCTCCCCTCCCCGTCTTGTGCTCTCTCTCTTGCACTCTCTCTCTCAAATAAATAAATAAATAAAAGATTTTATTTATTTATTTGAGAGAGAGAGAATGAGATATAGAGAGCACGAGAGGGAAGAGGGTCAGAGGGAGAAGCAGACTCCCTGCTGAGCTGGGAGCCCGATGTGGGACTTGATCCCGGGACTCCAGGATCGTGACCTGAGCCGAAGGCAGTGGCTTAACCAACTGAGCCACCCCGGCGCCCTAAAAAGTAATTAATTTAAACCAACACTTTAACAACTTTATTTTGTGACATGCTCCATGAAATAGTTTCATGGTTGTGGCAAAGACTGTTCATGGTCCTCTCCTCCTCTACCACAAAAATAGATTTTTTAACTAGGCATGTGGCTACACAGAATAAAGACTATATTTTTAACCCTGTTTTTCAAGTAGGTAAGGTCACAGAACTAAGTTCCTGTCAATAGGATATAATCAAAAGTCACTTTACAACATCTAGGAAGTATCCTTGATAGGTTAGGGGATTCTCTTCTTTTCATTTCCTCCTTCCTGCTGGATGGATTGTGGATGTATTGGTTGAAGCTGGAGCAGCCACATGGAACCATGAGGTGGTCTTAACACTGGAAGACTGAGCCATGATACCCTAAAGAGCCAAAGTTGCTCCAGACTATGTATCTGTGGAATTTTACTTAAGAAAAAAATAAAGTTTTATCTAGTTTAAGACACTAAGACACTTATATTTTAGATTTTTTCTGTCACTCCTAGTTGAACTTAATCTTAATACAATAGTCAAATATATCTGGGAAATTTTGCATATCTTATCTCCTTCTCTATTAAGAGATACTGGCATATTGGGTGCCTGGGTGGCTCAGTTGGTTAAGCGACTGCCTTCAGCTCAGGTCATGATCCTGGAGTCCCGGGATCGAGTCCCACATCGGGCTCCCTGCTCAGTGGGGAGTCTGCTTCTCCCTCTGACCCTCTTCCCTCTTGTGCTCTCTATCTCTCATTCTCTCTCTCTCAAATAAATAAATAAAATCTTTTAAAAAAAGAGAGATACTGGCATATAAAGACTCCCAAAAGATCTGCAGCAAAATAATATTTTTAATTTTGTTTAATCCTCTATTCCCAGTGTTTTCTTTCTTTAACACACTACAAGGAGAGTTAATTTCCATGTTATTAGTACATAATAGAGGGCCCTGCTACAAATGCAGTAGATTTTCTATAACAATACAACTTTGCTAGTTTTGTTGCCATTTGAACAACTAGGATCTCCATATCCCTGAGATGTAGTCTAATGAATATTTAGCTCCATACTTTGTTCAGAGTGATTTTTTAAAATCTACATTATATTACCTGAATCCTGTGAGCAAAGGTGGATGGTGGGCAATACTTCTAGAGTCTGAATTAAGCTGTTACT